CAATCCTCCTCCCTTTGAGCTAGCTTTTCGGGTGTGAGTTAGGCCTAAGACCTAATTTAATAGTTTTCTAACTTCTGAGTTGCCTTTAATGGCTTTAGTAGTTGCATCGACAAGTTAAGCTCATGTCTCATTAGCGTTTCTCTGTAATTACGTGCTGTTAAGGATAACAAATACTTCATTTGTTTTAATTTATATGTCGTAATTACTATTTGGAGAGTTAGAGGATGCCAGGATTTTTTCAAATACTTTTTGAATATTTTGAATTGTTAACTATTGTGACTTAATAGTACATTCTATGTAGTTTCAAAATGAGGAAGTTTTGTTTAAAAAAAGAAAGAAATTTAAGATTTATGTCCAGATTCACATTGAAAATTAGTTAGTTTGACCCTCGTACTACGAATCAGGACACGTATATTGAAACAGTGAGAGTAATTGTTTGATGTCCTCCTAGCCGCCCTTTAGCTTTTGTAAGGTTGATTTCTCTGATGGTCACTCAACTGATAGTGTAGTTGTTATTTCGGAAAGTTACTTTTTTGTAGAAAGAAATTGGAATCAAGAAGAAATGTGACTTTCTGAGATAGTGAGTGTTAGTTGAGTGACTGTTTGAGAAATCAACTCGCTTTTGTACTATCACTATCGTTATCCTTATTTTCGATTTGTTGGGATGTATACTAACTTTCTGTTATCGTTGATGTTGAAAGATTTAGAACCAGGAACGACGCCACTGAGTTGGAAGACAAGGCTAAAGATAGCTGCAGGCGCAGCTCATGGACTCGAGTATCTACACAAAGCAAATCCACCTGTCATTTACCGTGATTTGAAATCTTCAAATATATTATTGGACAATGATTTCAATCCAAAGCTGTCGGATTTTGGACTCGCAAAGCTGGGACCTGTAGGTGACAACACTCATGTTTCGACAAGAGTGATGGGCACCTACGGATATTGTGCCCCCGAGTATGCCATGACTGGGAAGTTGACTCTGAAATCTGATATCTACAGCTTCGGTGTTGTTCTATTGGAGCTAATAACGGGACGAAAAGCTTATGACACCTCTAAAAAACAAGGAGAACAGAACCTTGTTGTTTGGGTGAGTTATAACTTATACTATCTTAAATCTGAATACTAACTACTGGTCTCGTTTTCGGACCAGCTCAATTCTCCATTTCTGTTCAATTCTGATATTATACAACCGATAACCTCTAATGCAACCTCGTTGTTTATTAAATTCATTTTGATTTAGAGAGTTATTCAATTCACAAGATGCACTGCTTTTGGAGGATCTGACACACACCCATAGACATTTTTGAAGAGTCGGGGCAACTTAGTTTTTCAGTCAATTGGATCATTACCTGGTTCCAATACGAAACTGAAGTCCACTCGGTGTTTTGAACCAATTCTATAAGAACACATACTGAAAAAGAAACTATTACTAGTCATATTATCGCAAAATTTTGCCCATTATTTGCTGCTAGTAAAGAACAGATAATGAAGGGGAGTGGGAAGCTGCCTTGACGTAACTGATAAAGTTGTTGTCATGTGACTAGGACGTCATAGGTTAGAGTTGTGGAAACAGCCTCTTGCAAAAATGCAGGGTAAGACTGCGTAAAATAGATCCTTGTGGTTTGTCCCTTCCCCGGACCCTTGGTAATAGTTTTTTATCCAAAAAAAATATGAAGTAGTGCAACTTATATCCTGAACCCGACCTGAATACGAGACATGGTCTCTGTTTATGTACTATGTCTAGAATTTCTTTAAATCTGAGAAACTCTTCGACTTGGTTTCAGTCTAATCCTTTCCTCAAGGACCGGAGGAAATACATTCATTTGGTAGACCCGATGTTGGATGGTCAATTCTCTTCTCGTTGTTTGCACCATGCTGTTGCTGTTACTGCAATGTGTCTTCAAGAACAAGCCAGTTTTCGCCCCAGCACTACTGATATTGTTACCGCGCTTGACTATCTTCTACTTCAAGCACAACACTCAGGTACACATAGAGGTGGTTCACAATCTGGCAAGCACATACCGCCTCCATCAACAGAAGAGTTTAATGTCAGTTCACGAAATCGAAGCTATGACAACATGGCTATTACATTTTAAATTTTTCGTCTGAACAAACTGCTAGATATATAGAGATGGGGATTGAGGAACATCATAGATGAAAATGGAGGTGCATTTTATTGTTTCGACGTTATAGCAGAGGATATCAGTCACTTCAGCTTTTGATTATGAGGTTAGAAGACCATCTTGAACACAAGAGTTTATAGTCAAAAACACATCTAAAATATCACATTTTTGCGAGTTTCCTACCTGAACTCTCGGGTGTCCACGTTTCCTATCGGAGCTATTTATCAAAAACACACCTCAACTATCAGTTGTTCCCTTCCTACCTGAAATATAACTGTCGTTCAGGTAGGAAAAGTGAACAACTGATAGTTGAAGTATCTTTCAATAAACATTTGGTGATAGTTTAGGAAACTCGCACACCTAATAGTTCAGGTATGAAACTCAAAAGATCAGGATGCTATAGATGTGTTTTTGACCCGTCGTTCTTTAAACAAGCACTCTAATTTAACTTGTTTTAGCCAGTAGTTATGTTTTAGCTGACCTGATAGTGTAAAAACCTCGATTTCTTTTCTCACTTAACCTCCATATGTCCTAAGTTCCTTCTGAATTCCTTATTTTCTTATCACAGTAAGAACAGGACATGATTCATTCAAATGTTTTTGGCTTTTCAGATGACGTTTCCTTGAATCAAGAACTTCAATCGATTTGCAGGAACGCGGTAGACTGCTCTTTCCCCTGTACATTGACTACTTGTAATTCATAAACAGTTGAGGAACCATTGAATATTGTTTCACGTATCTGTATTTTGGTGTATATGAAAAACCTAAAATCAAAAAATGGATGTATATCAACGTCGAGATTGTATATATACCCATACTTCTTGTAATTTCATGCATATTGTTGACATGATCATATAAGATAATATGAACAATAGTGAACACTTGTTGTTGTTGATGATATATTCTTCGATTATCTTCTAGTCTTAAACATGTCAGATGGAAAGTTAGAATGAAAGAGTTGCAAGAAACGGAAAGTGAGACATTTTCTTTAAACAGACTAAAAAGGAAAGTAGGATAAATTAAACTAATTGAAACGGAGGGAGTAACTGTTTTGTTTCTGAAATTTACTGAATTTTCAACTTCTATTGGGGAATGCATATGATTAACTAGCACACAGACATATACAAAATAAATAGAGAAGAAGAAATAAAATAAAAATTTAACGAGATTCAGTCAAGCCTACGTCCTCGGGTCAAAAGCATAAAACAAAGAATACAACATATGTTAGATCCCTAATTATAATCCCTTTACTCCCAAGTGTTTTTCCCAATCTTGCATGATCAATAATTTGCTTTACATAGATGAGAACATAACATGATTCGAATTTAGGTCAATGTGATCAGAGCTAGTGTGCTCTGATCACATTATGATCGCGTTAACCCTTAGAAGCTCTTCTATGATCGCGCTCAAATCATGCTATCTTTTTTTATTTTTTCATATAGGTCCCATCGCGATCTTTTAAAGGTCTGACCGCGATTCAAATCCACCAGAATTCAAGACACAAAGTCAACGACTTCAATTTTGACAATATAAATGGATGAGATTAGTGGTTTTCTCTAGTGGACTAGTCTTCCCACCAAAGTCATATCTTCAAATTATAGTGGCAAATAGCAATCACTAGAAAAAGTAGGCAAATAGTTTTGCTTGAAGTAATAAGTACTCTTTCATCCTTAACTAGATGTTTCAAGTTCGAGTTCTTCTGGTACAGAGTCACATTTGGTAAGAAGCGCTTTACCCCTCAATGAGGGACTTTCCAGCTCGAATCCAAATTTAGTCGAGCTCTAATACGATATCGAACACCAGGTGGGAAACAAGTGCAGCCCAAAAGTTTGAAAAAATATTGAAATACTCACCATATGGTAATGACTTTTAACTGGTTGGCATTTGTGCATATGTAGCTTTTTGCTTTGAAGATTGAATGAAGTGACTAGCTAGTGAGTATCTTGTTCATAGTCAGTTGACTTTAGTGCAAGAATAATGTCTGATTTATGGAAATGTTCTCTTTTTAGGTTACATTATAAATTTTGTTCCTATTTTTAATTAAAAGTTGTACAAATAATAATAAAAATGATAGTACATAATATGAACAAAATTTAAAATAATCATTTTATGTGTCTTTTTTTCAATATTTATGTTTGTATTTTGTTCAATATATGTGTCTTTTTCTTAGTCTGTTTTCAAACAAAATAATCATGTTTTATCTTTAGTATTCTGATCTGTTCGTCACAATTTATGTAATATTCTTTTTTTGATCAATTAACAAAGAATGACATCTTTTCATATTTAGTAACATTTTGACTTTAAACTTTTCGTTTAATCATTGGAATAATGTTTTTTTTTGGTTTCCCATTTGCTGTTCGGAAAACACATTGGAGCTCCGATTAAATCCGAATCACGCTCTGCAGGGCCCATTCGGGGGTGGCGCTCTCAACAGGATTTTCTCCATACCGAAGGCTCGATGTATTGACACATAAAGTTCTATGAATTAATTTAAATCATAAATATAAAAACATTACATTTTCTCTTAAACTTCGTACTCAATCAGACACTTCCACATAAATTGAGACGGAGAAAATTACGAATAAAATCTAAGTATGTATACTTGCTGATCTTTTATAAATATTTTTAAAAGATACTAATTTTTATAAAAAATTTCATTGTATATTAAGTTAGCATTACAAAACTTTGAATTTTGAATCATTCTTTTGCAACGTGGTATATTTAAATGTCCTCGATATTATAAATGATTCAAAATATCCTCTTTTTGCGTATTGGATCAGATTAACTCATCTTTCATCCATTGGATTAAAAATGCTTTTAACCTATTAGAAATAGTCCAAGTTAAATTGTGTATATATATATTGATTCACTCAAAATTTAGTACTTTTTGCTCATATCTTATATAAATATTAAGAAAATTATTGTATATTTATAAATTTTACTTTTTGCTCATATCTTATATACTTCATCTATCCCAATTTATGTGACACTTTTTATTTTTTGAGAGTCAAACATTTTAAGTTTGATCAACAATTTACGCATGAAATCTTCAAAAAATTTAAATGAAATTTATATATTTATAAACTACGTAAAAAAAAACTATATCACAATAATTGATAATTCAAAATGTTTAAAAAATTTATGATAAAAATAGACTTATTTGTATAAATCTCAAAATCTTAAAAGTGTCACATATAATAGGACGAAGGGTGTAAATATCAAGAAAATTATTGAATATTATATATTCTGTTGTTATTGTTATAATATGAATTCAAAGTCAATCTAAAAATTAGTAAAAGTTCAAATTTTGAATCGGTGTTTGGGGTCAAATTTAAATGGAGGGAGCAAAATGAAAGTGAAGTGAGAGAATTTATTTTTTCTTTATATAAAAACTCACACAATTATCACACAAAAACTGCAACTAACTTTTCGCATAAAAAAAACGCTGCCTCCGTTAGCTCCACATGAGTACTACTGATCTTTCACGTAACTCCGGCAGCATAAACTCGCCGGATTCACTATCACCGCCGGAGAATCAGCCGTTAGAAATCGACATCGTCGACTCCGACTTCGTCGTTATCCTAGCTGCTCTTCTCTGCGGTCTAATTTGCGTAATCGGCCTTGCCGCCGTAGCTCGTTGCGCTTGGATCCGACGGATCGCCGGAGGAAATTCAGATGATGATCCTCTTCCTCCGGCGAACAAAGGTTTGAAGAAGAAGGTACTGAAATCATTACCGAAGTTCAGTTACACACCGGAACGATCTGTGCAATTCTCTGAATGTGCGATTTGTTTGATGGAATTCGTAATCGGAGATGAAATCCGAGTGCTGCCGCAGTGCGGCCATGGATTTCACGTCGGATGTATCGATACGTGGTTGGGATCGCATTCGTCGTGTCCGTCTTGCCGTCAGATTCCGGTGGTTTCAAGGTGTAGTATGTGCGGTGAGCTGCCGGTGACGAACTCGTCGGCGGCCGTCGGAGGTGAGACCGGTAACCGATCGGCTCCGAATAATAATTATCATGTAAATGCATTTTTACCTTAGAATGTAATTAATTAATTACATATTAGGCAAAGTGTATAGATTAATTCATGTACGTGTATTGAGAATTACTAGTTGTACGGAGTATTTGAATTTATAGTGAATTAAATGGTGTTATTTCCATCAACCAAAGTTTTAGTAATAAAATGTTTTCCAATTCTCATATACTATTAGGAGTTTTTTTAATTTTCCCAACTTTTATATGATGTTTTTACTTGAGTCGAAGGTCTACCCTCAAAATAGGAGCAAAATTTTCATATATGTACACTATCAGTATAATAACTTCAATGGGTCTTCCACTTATTCAGGTTCGTGTTGTGTAAGGCCCGAAAGCTTTTTTATCAAGATTTTTCTTCATAGTTCAAAATTTTGAACCCAAAAATTTTCATTAAGAAATTTTATTATAAATTTATTTAGGTTTATTACATCGCCACAACGGACGAATCCATATATGAACATTCGTTGTCAGAAAATTACATTACGTATTTTAAAAAAACATAATACATAAATATAACCCTTAATTTGGCTTCATCTGACAACTATGACCTTTAACTTTGGATGAGCTCAAGTAAATATTTAAACTTTTATAAAATTGAACAAATAGACACATTCGTCCTACCTGACATAATACATTGGAGGACATAGTTGTCTGCTGCTGAATCTAAGTTAAGGTCATGTTATATATTACGCCTTAAAAAACATATTACATATATCATATATGTTACTACTTCATAAAAAAAATTACTCTAATTTCACGGTCATGAAGGGTCTATCATAACAGTGATAACATATCCAGTATAGTCTCATGCATAAATGAAATTTGGAGAGAGTAAAATACATGCAGTTCTTGCTTATATGTTCACGAGATACAAAAATAATTTTCGATAGTTTCACGACCCACCTGACATTACAAATTCATTTTCTCTGTTGATGT